GCAGGACAATCAGAATTTTAAGCCAGCCTGGGCCACATAGGAAGATTCTATCACAAACCAAAGACAGAATTCCAAATATCAAAGAGGGGATTTGACAAGCTTCCAGAGGGGAGGAAAACACATCGAGGACACGGAATCATTGTGGCTGTCTGGACTTCTCCAACAGCAACACTGGAAACATAAACACAGTGAGACAATGTCTTTAAAACTCTGAGAAAAAAAAAATGATTTCCTGGCTAAGATTTTATACTTAGCTGTACGATCCCTGAAAAGGGGATATTAAATATTAAATGCTAGGTCTCTGAGACTCCCCTTTCATTCCCATGACTCTGCAAGTCACAGGAACTATGGATGTGGGCCAGGCTTCAGTGTGACCTGAAGAAACACTGATGCCACACGTCCACTGGGAACCAGGTGGGCAAGTGTCACCCATAGAAGAAACAATGATCCTGCTTTCATACATGTACACCAAAGGGATCTATTCCTTGGGAGCCTGGTTATACAATGAACAGAACTAACAACGTTGGTGTTTACAGAGTTCAACCTCTAAGACCCTTGTCTATGCTGTGACTGGGCACAGAGCACTGTGGAGGGGATAAGCGCCTACCATTGGACCCTTTCTGATCATAAGTTCCAGTAAACATATGTCTCCCATGCCTCCTGGGGGTTTTCTTCTGTCTCTTGGCATCCTGTCCTACTGTCCTAGCACAGCTGGGCTGCAGATGTGACAGCAGGCACTTGGCCAAGTCGTAACGTTTTTTATCTCTTATGGATCCTTTCTCACAAAAGCTAATGAAGGATGTGCAACTGGAACCTGAAAGCATAACAAGGTGAGTGAAATGAAACACAGATAACAAGTGACCCAACACTAGAGAAAAAGGAAATCCTGAAATGATAGTCAAAGATCAGAAATACAAGGCAAAATGTTCAAACTGGAGCAAAATGACTGGAGTAAGGAGGGCTTTTGCAGTTGTACCATCTTATTTTTTGTTTGGTTCATTAAACCTAAAAATGCCAGGTGAGCCTGGCTCAGATTGTTAATCTGTTCTCACTCTGTTCTCCATGCCATGATGACTGAACAGGTGACCACCCTTATTTTTACCTCTGAGGAATAAATCTGAGACCCAGAGGTAGGGAACAATTAGCCTAAAAGCAGAAAATAAGAGTAACCCAGCTCCCCTTACAGCATTCTAGTCCCTTCACAAACTACTCTCCTGGAGAAGACCATATTCCAAAGACTCATCCACACCCTTGCTCCTGAATCCTGACACTCTGCAAACTCTCGGGAAATCTGCAGTTAGAGACATTCAGTTAATTTCCTGGGAGCTTTCTCCTGTTCCCCTCCCCACCCCCATCCCCCACTAGATGTGTTTGTACCTATTTTTCAAAACTAAATAGCATACAGTTGGAGACACAAAAATTCTAAGTAACTGTAAAGAAAATCAATATACTTAGAAAGTCAAGATACCAATTCACACCCATTAGGATGGCTACTATCAGAAAAACCAAAAAACAGCCAAGTATTGGCAAGAATATGAAGAAATTGGAATGTTTATGCTCTCTTGAAGTTAATGCAAAATGGTGCAGCCACTATGGAAAACAATATGGAGTTCCACAAAGTATCTGAAGCAGAATTACCATAAGATCCAGAAACTGAACTTCTGGGTATCTACACAAAGGAAGTAAAAGCAACTTCTCACAAAGATATTTGGCTTCCATCTTCATTGCAGCATTACTCACAATAGCCAAGAGGTGGAAGTAACCAAATGTCCATCAACAGACTAATAATCAAAGATGTGATAATACATAGAATGGAATATTATTCAGCCTTGACAAGAAATGAGAGCGCCCATTGCCAGAGACTCATGCCTGCAATCCTAGCTACTTGGGAGGCTGAGATCAGGAGGATCAAAGCTCAAAATCATCCAGGGCAAATAGTCATTGAGATTCCATCTCCAAAAATAACCAGTGCAAAATGGACTGGAGGTGTGGCTCAAGAGACAGAGCACCTGTTTTTCCCCAAGGCCCTGAGCTCAAACCCCAGACCTACCAAAGAAAGAAAAAAAAAAAAAAAAAAGTAGGGACCAGGTATGGTGGCTCATACCAGGTATGCAGGAGACTGAGACTAGGAGGATCTCAGCTCAAGGCCAGCCAGCCAGTTAGTAAGATTCCATCACAACCAATAAGCTAGGCATAGTGAGGCCCAGGTATGTGAGATCCTAATAGAAAAATACCTAACACAGAAAGCACTGGTGGCATGACTCAAGTGATAGATTGCCTGCCTAGCAAGTCAAAGATCCTGAATGCAACCCCCAGTACTGAAAATAAAATTAAAAAATTAAGTAGGAGAGGACAATGGTTACCTCTGGGAGGGAAAGTGGCATAGCTGTCCAAACATTGCTAGGAGTTTCTGTGAAAGTGTTTTGGATACTATCTTTTAAATCCGTGGATTCTGAGTAAAGCAGATTGCCCTCCATAATGTGGGTGGGCCTCATCTCATCAGTCAAAGGCCTGAGTAAAAGGTCTTTTCCAAACAAGACACCAGATAGCCTTCAGAATTTACCTGCAACATCAGCTCTTACCTTGATCTGGCATATAAACTTACTTTGATTCAGGCAGTGGGCCCACCCTGCAGATTTTAGATTTACCAACCTCCATAATGGTGTGAGCCAATTCCTTTTAATAACACTCTACACATACATGCACACACACGCAATCCTGTTGGGTTCACTGTCCCTCAAACTCTAATATAGACAAGAGGGGAAATGCATATGAAAAGCTCCTATGGTACTGGCAGTGCTATATTTTTTAACTAATTTTTTGAGACAAGTCTCACTGCATATTTCAAGCTGGACTGGAACTTACTATGTATCTCAGGCTGGCCTCAAACTCACGATCCTTCTGCCTCAGTCTCCCAGGTGCTCAGATTACAGGTGTGTACCACTGTACCTGGTTATTGTGCCACTGTATTTCTTAACCTGGGCGGCAGGTAAATGGGTGCTTATCATTATTCCTTAAAGTGTATTTTATGCACTTCTTATATGCATGACTGTCTCAATTTAAAAAAATCAAAGATTGATGTGAAACCAATTTATGCATCATAGTTCAAGTCTTAACAACTCTTAAATAACCCGGGCCTGATGAACCCATCTGCACCCAAAGAATGTGTTAAACTTACTAAACTTACTAATGCTTGGCAGACTTACCCGGATCATAGATGATGGATCTGTAATGAGTCATCAGGAGAAATTAAGAATACTTTTGGATCAACATTATAACAATTCTCCGTATTTTTGAGACATGTTACCCAACCAGATAATGTCATTTCATATGGTATCATTACACAGCACTCATTTTTTTCATCATCCATCCCCATCCTCTAGTTTGAGGATGAATCCTAACTTGGAAGGAAACTTGTGAAGGTCAGAATCACCCACTTTGTCAACTGTCTGAGGAGGACCTAATGTACACTGAGCACATAAAACCCGGGGGTGATACTGTGTACGGAAAATAAAAACCACTCCCAGCCCTTCAACATGCCCAAGTGCTGGATTTATCCAGGATACATTTAACATCTCACATAAAACATTCTGAAGAATTTATACCAAATTTACATTTCGAAAGCATCATCGTTTGAGTTCTATAACAAACTGGGGAAAATTGGAATTGTTACAAATTAGAATCAAGAAGGGGGTCCACAGAAAGCAATTGTCAGCAGAGCTGAGCAATTTCACGGCCTTCTTTCAATATAAATCATTTGCAAGTAAATACTTGAATGTCAAAGCATCCAATTTCTACAGATATAATTATGTGCATATAAAGTCAAGTATTTTGCCATTTGTGTGGCAAACATTAAACTTTCAAAAGTTGTTTGGCAAAACATGTTATAGAAATAACTTCCCCTGTTTAAAATATTTTAAAATTTCCAGAATATTCAAAATACGCTTGTAGAAAATCTGGAAAATATTTCTAAAAATCACAAAGGCAATAAATACCACTAACAGTAATCTTGTTTATGAAACTCATAACTAATATAACTAAAAATGGAGGTAATATTTATGCAAGAGTAGTACCCTTACCCAAAAGCCTCACCCTTCCTTAGGCATTTGGTACATTCCATGCTACATTTGTAAACACCTTGGTTGCAGCCATTTCTGCGAAGCAGGTGATACTTTCATTTAATCATGAAAAGGACTTTCAGCTGCTGCTGCAGTGTGGATGTTGGCTGTCTTCCAAAGGTCTTGGTGCACAGGGTGACAATATTCTGAGGTAGTTAGGACTTCTAGGAGTGGGGCCTAGCAGGAGGTCTTTAAGTCACTGTGGGTAAGTCTTTGGGGGTCATGGGACCCCTAACCTCTTTCTGTTCTTGTTTCCTGGTTCATGATATAAGGTGTTGACTCCAGCACTCTCCTCAGTCATATACTGCCTTTACCAGACCTCAAAGCAATGGAGCATCACCTTGGACTGGAACCTCCAGAACAGTTTTAAAAAAAAGACCTTTTCTCACTGGGCACAAGTGGCTCAAGTCATGTTCTTAATAGGATGATTTAGTTTCAGAGGTAATAGACTCCAATAGTAAATTCTTCCAAAGGTTTTGTTACTGAACTGAGTGCTTCCTACTTTTTTGTTAGAGTAGCTAAAATGACTACTATTCTGTATACTAATCCAGGTAAACAAATACCTTGGGACAGTGTTTCAAGCACATAGTGTGATGGAGAAATGTGTTACTATGTGTTCTCATCCTCACAGTCACACATTGTACCTCAAGCTGCTTCTAGTTTGGTAGTGACTTTTTTTCTGAGTTCTTCTTCTGCAGACTGACACATCTGAGGCCTACAGCATATAGCTGAGTTTATAGACATCAGTGATATACATAATGGTTAAGTCTCATGAATTTGAACATTTTTTACTCCATGAATTTGAACATTTTACTGAGTTCATTAAAAACATACTCCAAAAGCTCTACATAACCTGAAGTTTATCAGCAATAAGTTGATCAAATGATGCTCCCAGTCCTTGGTGCTGTGCTGGTGTGTGGTGGCCGGTGTGGCTGTTCGTACAGTAGCTGATGGGCTCTGGAGTGGGGGCTCCCACCAGATGGAGTGGCCCATGTCATCGCGGGCACCAGGGCCAGAGGTTGGAGGCTGGAAGTGTTTAGCTGGTTCATGGAGAACTTGCTGGTATTCTAAGAATGGTATTGTAGACAAACTGAACACTGAGCATACTGAGAAAAATAAAGCAAGGTGTGTCAGAGAAAGGCGCTACAACTACAGAAAGAGGTAGGCCAACACAGACCCCGAGGAATCAGGCTGAGGCTGGAAGTATTCATGTGGACTTTTTGGATTCTTACACACAGAGATGTCAAAAAATGTCAAGGTCAAAGAGTAAAAATCTTGAGTGATTCTGGAAGGGATAAACCTTTTAAGGATGCTAATGGGACAAATGATAGAATCTGAATGGGGTCTATAAATTAGACAGCACTGAAAGTTAATGTCCTTATCCTAATTATGGGTTATTAAGTACAGCCTTCTAGAAATTATACAGAGGTATATATACTAAGACATGTCTATGACTTAACTAGTTCAGGAAAAATAATATATAAGAAAATGACAGAGCTGGGGTGTGGCTCGAGTGGTAAAGTGCCTACACAGCAAGCATGAAGCCCTGAACACAAACCCCAGTACCACAAAACAAACGAAAAAACAAAAACAAAGCCCAGAAAATGACAAGATCAATGTACTTAAACTTACAACTCAGAAATCCGGAAAAGGGGATACAGGCATTCTTTATATACTTACAGTAACTTTTCTGTAAGAATGAAATTTCAAAACGAATAGTTTGTAAATAAAGATGTGCCTAAGCCGGGCATGGTGGTACTTGCCTGTAGTCCAGCTCTCGGGAGGCGGAAGGAGGATAGCAAGTTTCAGGCCAATGTGGGTTACATGGTGAGTTCCTTTCTCAAAACAAAATGAAACAAACAAGCTTTAATTCAGTGGTTGCCAAATATAAGTGCTAAACTGGCCATGTTAGAAGTTCCCAGAAAATATCTAAAAATAGGTTAGCAGGCCTCAAATTGTATTTCAGTGGGCTAAGACTCAGTAAAACTTCCCCAGTTAATTACAAAACATAATGTGGTTTGAGAATTGCTGCTTAAGCCAAGTCACCCAAGTCTAACCCACTCTTAGTGCCAAAAACCTGTGTTAATTAGGAAGTTAGAAAATACTCTGTCCAATTAAGGAATAAAAGCATAACCTGGGAGAAACACACTCCCAAAAGTGCAATCAGAGTATCTACAACTGACCTTTAAGCAAGTCAAGTAGAGGTCAAGTAACACACCTCACCATTCAGGTTTTCTTATTTAGGACCTAAAGTATAGAAGCTAAGATCATGTGAAAAATGACGTAATATACACTGGAATATTCTACATTCTTCAGGAGCATTGCATATAAATGTAATATAGCAAGATTGTAGAGCTATTTTCAGCTAACCAGGTGGTATGAGTAGATACAGGATCTGTAACAATCTAGATAGATCTCAAGCGTTCACTGTTGTGCATCTATCAATATATAAACTATATTTTCTAAATAGGTTACATGGCAAGAACATATTTAAAAAAATTCAAGTAACAAAACAACTGGTTTGAATGGCTGGCCCTAACATTTAAAAAGTAAACAAGAAAACTGAGTGTGAGGTGCCAGCAGTAGTATTTATTGTTATTCATAAGTGGTCAAAGACTTAGAGGTTCATTATCACTGGTACAACCACACGTATGAAATGTCAACACATGGACTGAAAGGGTAGTTGTGTATTTATATTACAAAACACACAGACACACACGAGTGTTCACGTATGCTGCCACAAAAGCAGGAAGCATCAAGCTGTAGGAATCCTGATATACACAGCATATTGAAGTATCTCAAGCATAAAAACTGTACTGTACTCAAGTTGCAAAAATAAAATTTCTTTCTTCAAACATTTTGATCTGAGTTCGAGCAAAGCAAATAAAGAACACCAATGATTTTCATATGATTTTCACGTACTTTAAAACAATCAACAAGAGTTAACAACTGCAAAAAACCAAATCAAAATGAAAACAAAACAACAAAAAAAAAAACCCTGAAAAGATGGAAGTTACAGGAACAAACAATGCATTTCATCCAAAGTAAGTCTACAGCATATCTGGCTCTCAGATACCTAAGAATCATAATTTACATTACTCAGACGACAAGGTAAGCCAGAACAAGCAAAGTGATAAACAGAAGAATCATCACTGCAAACAAGGCAGTGCTGCGCCTCGGTTTCTTCAGACAGTTTCACTAGTGCAAGAGCATCATTTACCTGAAAGATCATAAGTCACAATTAAAGAGAGCTCATACAAAACTATTTCCTTTTTCCTTTAAAAAGTGCCACATACTATACTTTTCATTTAAAAAGAAAATCCAACACATAAGCTAATGAAAGACTGTCTGTCTCCATCTCTTGTCGATGAGGAATGGCCAGAGTGACTCTTTGATTCCGACTCGAAATGGTGTCTGCTGGCCAATGCCCAGCGTCTCCAATTTGGAGCAGTCAAGCTGAGCGTTTCTTGGACGTTGCGCGCCTATGACTGGGCTGTCAGTAATCTTTAAAGAAAGCAGAAACAAACAGTAGTAAATAAAGGTCCGCATCTTGAGGATTTACATACTTTATTTCATTTTGCCCTTAATTTGATTTTTATCATATTAAATAAAATGTCTGCCAGCATCAAGACAATTCTTCTCCTATAAAGAGCACTCATGGACTTTAGAAATGGAAATTTAGAAATACCACTACAAAGCCAACACACAAGCCAAGTTCACTGCAACTTGTCTAAACATGAAGTTACCATTGTATCACACCCAAAATAAAATGAAGTTACCCAACACATTCATATCAACAGCAAAAATGGCACAAGTAGTACTATTGGTTGAAAAGGCCAGGAAGCTCGAGCGCTGGGACTTACAGGTCTTAGGTGGCTGCTGGGGAGGTTGAAAGCGTCTGCTATGGCACAAGCCATTTCATATTTTGTCATCTGTTCATTGCCCGACCAGTGAAAGGTTCCCTTAATTGATGGATCCTGGGAACAAGGACATGAGAAATTCAAGACAGATTCCAGTGTTTGAGGTGAGTAGAGTGAGGTTTGACAAGGAAGCGAATTCCAGGAACTAAACTGCAACCCTTTCAAATGAACTCAAAAAAATATCTAAAATCAAATTCCCGTAAATATTCCCAAAAAGCAATTTCCGGAATTAAGCCTTAAAAAGTTTCTTGAAATAAAATTATAAATGGCTCCAAATTTTCCTCAATTAGTAAAAGTCCTAAAAATGATTAGAAATTTTTATGGAAACAGTTCATATTAATGAATATTGTAAATTATCTTAAAGAAGTTAAAACTGAAACCAAATAAAAGCCATTTTTTCAAGATGAGCTGATTAAATCTTAATAAATATTGTCACGGTATAATATTCAAAATAAATATAAATTTTTATGTACGAAAAATTATGGTCATACCATTATTAATACTCTAAAGCAAATCAGCCCGAATCTTACAGATCCTTTATTTAGTGCCAAGTTTCTCAGATGTCTAAAATTAAATCCTATTCAAATATCTTTAAAAAGGGCTTTGAGAGTACGAGGTTCAAGACTGCTCCATCAGCCTAGAACCTGGAGTGGGAACTACAAAGTGAAGGGGCCAAAGACCCAGCATGACAAAAAAGTTTCACTACTCAACAATGCAAAAGCTGTCCAGCCTTTTATGGAAACCACAGCACAGTATGGTTTCCCTGAAACTTGCTAAAGACCACAGACAGGGCCAGTTGAAGGGACCTCACTGTGTAGCCCAGACTGGCCTCGAACTTGAGATTCTTCTGCCTCAGCTTCCCAAGTGCTGAGATTAAAGGCATCAACCTCCATGCCAGAGTGCTCTGGGCTCACTAAGTCCAGTTGTCTTTTGGGAAGCTTAATTCAAATTCCTTGCTCAATGCAGCAGGCAATTTGGTTCTCTGCAAGGATCCTGTGTACCCATTCTCTTTGGAGGCTTTGCTTATGAGGCTGGCATCTGGGAATTCCGTTGCCTCTTGAGCAATGGAATGAGTTGGCAGTGCTCGGTTTCTGTATCTTGTGTCAGCCCATCACCAAAAACTACATAAGATGGAAAGTGTGGTTTGAGGCTGGGTCAATCTCCAAGGGTAATTAATATTCCAGAATCTCCTGCCTGAAATTTCACCTTCAGCTGCTTTTGCCTTTCCCTACTCTGCTTCCTGACTCCCAGCAGAGCTATTCATACACTGACCTTTCAGTGTGCTTGAATTCTGGATCAAGATGGTAAGAGTGGCCTGATGCTGGTGGCTCACACCTATAATCCTAGCTACTCAAGAGGCATAAATCAGATGGATCAAGGTTCAAAGCCAGACCCAGGCAAACAGTGCAAGAGACTCCCACCTTAAGAAAAAACCCATCATAAAAAAAAGGGCTAGGGGAGTGGCTCAAGCAGTAAAAGCACCTGCCTAGCAAGCATGAGCCCGAGTTCAAGCACCAGTGCTGCAAAATAAATTTTAAAAACCTAAATGGTGAAAGTGGTAAGCCTTCTACCAGCAGGAGTAGAGCACCCCTGATCCTGGGGCCCCGGGCAAGCAGGCTAAGGGCAAGACCCGGCAGCCAGCAGGACACAGTGAGAGTCCCCAGCAGCACAAGCCATAGGAGCCTTGTAGAGTTGTGCAGGGTACAGACAAGGAGGCTCAAAGGAGTCATTTCTGGACCTCTCCCTAGGTCAGTTCTGTCCAAATGCTACACTGGGTGCATGCCTGGTTAGGGCCAGCTCTGGGCACAGGATAGCTGCAGCCAGGAACAAGACCGGGGCTGGAAGAAGGCAGAAGAATGGAGGAAAAACTCTCTCAGGGGACCTTCTGGAGAGGGCCTGTGAACCTGGTCTCCCACAGTGCACACGTGTGCTCAGATGAGCACCTTGGGCCTTTTATGCGTGAAGACTACTCTGAAAGGAGGCATCATGTCGCCTGATGTCAGAGTCTTCTTCAAAGCCCCTAGTTCCCGCAGACCCCTTTCATTATGTCATCTGTAGGGGCTGGTTGAGGAGAGACCTATTCCTGCTCTAAGACATGCACAGGTCCCTGGCATTCCAGACTCTCTGGGGCACTAACCAGAGGCAGGGCCAGAAAAATATGTGAACCCCAGCTCCCTTCCACTGCACTGAGAACAGAATACACAGAGAACCCAGGCCTGGATCCCTTCTCACGGGACTATCACCGCTGTGAAGTCTGAAGATCAGAAACGTGAGCCTGAGGAACCTGCACTTCAGGTCTGGGCTGCTGGGCAGAGGGGCCGGAAGTCCCGCTTTTGCTTTTCAGTGAGTCCTGGGAATTGGGGGGATAAAGTGGTGTTGCTTAGAAAACACATAGGTTTTTAGGCTAAGGATCTGTAAATGAAATGTTTTGTTTCTAGTTCCCAAAATACGGCAGTTTATTCTATTTTGAGATTTTCTGTTTGCTGCAGCCAGACTGCTATGGGGAGTGTGGTGTGAAAAAGAACTGGGAGGGTGTAAAGGCCTCCCCCCAGAGCTGGGGCCACAGCCTAGCATCCTACTGAAGGCAATTTTGGAAAATAAAACTTTTAAGAAGGATCCAAAAAAAAAAAAAAAAAATTTCTACTTAGATTCTTGCTTGGCACTATCAGAAAAACTACCTGAAAGGCATTAAGTGACTTTTTTTATCTAAAGAACAAATAAGTTTTCTGCCACTTTGCAGTAACAATGATATGTAAGAAATAAATTCAAACATAAAATTTTCATTCTTCAAGAATACAGGCCACCATCTGTAAACTACTTTCTCTCTTAGTTTTAAAAGAACACTTTTAATTTGCACCCTGCAATACTCCCAAGCATGGCACAGAAAAAACAAAGCGGATCTCCAAAGAGAAGCTACCACCTCTCCCTCCCAAGCCTCTCACCAGCATCCTCTTCTCCGCCAGCTGCCGGCACACGCTGGCCACATCCTTGACGTGGGTGGGGAACCTCTGCTGCCAGTGGTCCATGTTTGCTGACTTGTTGCTAAACTGCACTTTATCAAACATGACAGTCACAGCACTTTCTTCAAGCTTTTCAACTTCCCCATACAGAACAGGAATTCTCAAAACAGCAGCTCCTGGATGAATACAGTAAGTTCTGGCGTAAGAAAGTGTATGCATTTAAACAGTATCAAAGTAAAAGCTTTGTCTTTTAACATAAATATCCGGGCTGGGATGTAGCTCAGTGGTAGGGCATTTGCCTAGCATGCCCAAGGCCCTGGGTCCAATCCCCAGCACTGCAAAAAAAAAAAAAAAAAAAAAAAAGGTATAATTCGCCTATAATCTTGCCAACTTAATAAATGTGACCCTGAATTTTTTCTGGGGGGAGGGGCAGTGCTGTAATTTGCATTTGAGGCCTTGAGATTGCTAGGCAGAGCGCTTATCACTCGAGCCACAACCCCAGCCCTTTAGCTTTAGTTATTTTTTAGTTAGGTCTCACATTTTTACCCAGAACTGGCCTCCAACCTTGATCCTCCCAATCTCCACCTCCCAAGAAGCTAGGATTACAGGAGTGAATCATCACATTCTGTCCTGAATATTTTTTAAAATCTACTGTCATTTAGGGTACTTCTATATATAATTTCAACATTTTATGACCATTAAAATGAAAACCTATCATGACAACTAAGTATAAATAATCCTGATTGGATGCAGAATTAAATAAAGAACATTTTGTGGACAACTGGAAAAACACCCATTCAGACTATGTATTTGACTGAAGCATTACACCAATGTTAAATTTTGTAAGTGTGCTACCACCCTGTAATTACATAAAAAATGTCCTTAAGACACACAGTGAAGTATTTTAGAACTAAATTCAACTAGTTATCACTCTGTTCAGCAAGGTACACACAAAAAATACATGTGCCAAAACACTAACAAATGATGAACCTTGGGTGAAGGGGATTTGAGTGTTCATTGCTCTCAAACCACTGATGAAGGAACTTTCAGATTCTTAGATTTTAATTGGTCCCTGATGAGGATTATAATCTTAGCATTTTAGCTGCCAGTCAAAATAAATTTTATTTTACAATTACATTATAGGACAAGTAAACATAGCTACTGCTATAGTTTGAATGCCGTGTCTCCTCCAAAATTCCAGGCTGAAATTTAATCTGCAACACATCAGTGTTGGAAGTTGGTGCCTTTTGGGAGATGTTTAGGTCCTGAAGGCTCCACTAGCTAGGATGGGTAGGTCCCATTATGAAAGAGTCTGAGGGGAAAGCATTCCTTTCTGTCCTTCTGCAATGTGAGGAAGCAACCCAGACCCTCACCAGATGCAGGCACCTAGATCTTGAATTACCTAGCCTCCATAAATAATCTACGTATTGTTACATCAGCATAAAATGGACTAAGACAGAAATGTATTCTAGGATGATTTCTACAGGGTAATTTAAAACGCTAAAGAAGTAGAAAAACTAAATGTCCACTACTAGGGCATTCTATGCTTGGGGCTACTTCTCAAAGCTATAGTTTAATCAGAGGCATTAATTTTAGTGTGGAAAAACAGGTTATGGAACAAAGTGGATACTTTGTTTTAATCATCAAAAATATTTCCAAACAAACACATACTTCATGCTAATCTCTCTTAGTCAACATTAAGATTTCATTCTTACGGTTTTAATTTTTGGGGGCGTTTATAATTATTTCCAAAGATTAAAGAGTCACAGGCATGTAGCAATGCAGTAGCTGCTTGAAGGCATACAATTCACTTATTACAGACTTAAGGTCATTTGTACCACTTAAATTTGTTTTTAAATTTTTTTCAAAGATGATGTACTTTTTACATACTTACAGGGATATGTATACACAAACACATACAACGAAAAAAGAAAACTCATATATAACCAAATACCTCAGTCTAAGAAAATACTTCAATCTGAAAGAAATTATACTACCCTATTTTTTGGAAGCAGATTATAAAAATTAGCACTTTGTTTTCTGCGCACAAAGATGTGCATGTATACAGTGATAATGGAAAAAGTCTGGGAGAATTCACAAAGTAGTGATTCTTTAGGATTTTAAAAAAATCTTTTTTTTCCCCACTGTATTTCTAATTTCTAATAAATTACATTGCTTGATTTTAAGCTAAAAACATGTGGTTCTTGTAATCAGAGAACAGTCCTAACAATCAGGAGCCAACGAGGCTGTCTTACCTGTGTTGTTCTCCAGGACTGCCTTTTCCCCTTCTAATTTTGTTTTGCCATACATGTTTAGGGGATTTGGTATGTCTTCCTCTGTATACGGTGGATTTGTTCCATCAAAAACATAATCTGAGCTAATGTAGATGAGAAATGCTCCAATTGCAGCTACAAAAAAAGAAAAAGATGTATAAAATTTTTATGTCATTACTTTTCAGCGGAATTTAGAATTGTTTTAATATATCACACAGAGTAAACCAATCTAAGTGATCTACACAAACTCAGTGAAAGATTTAATATTTGATGGAAACTTGATGAAGTTGTCATTACCGGCTTCTTTTGCTAGATTTCCAGAAGCAGCCACATTAAGCTGAGAAGCAGCGTCTGGCTGACTCTCTACGACATCTGGTCTTCTCTCTGCTGCACAATGCACAACAACATGAGGCTGAAAGGAAGCAATGATGCATTTTTAATCCAAAAGGAATGAAAGAGGAAACCAGCTTCCTACAGCAAATCCATTCAGAGAAAAATGATCCTTAAATCATCTGTATGACTAAAGAATAAATCACTGTAATTCTTAATGTGGTTTTGCCATGTTTCCTTTTTTCCCATCAAAGGTCAAGGTTCCTGGAAATATACATATAAGCCACAAAAAGAAAAACACAATTTTGTTGTTTTTGTAGTGCTGGGGGATCAGCCAGGTACCAGCAAATCAGGAGGATCATGGTTTGAAGCCAGCCTGGGGAAACAGTTCTCAAAAATACACAAAAAAGGGCTGGTGGAGTGCTCAAGGTGTAGGCACTGAGGAGTTCAAACCCCAATATGGCAGCAAAAAGAAAAGCCTACATTTCTTCTGTAACTTTTCTTTGACCATGGCAAATAACTTATTCTCTCAACTCCAAAATGGAAAGGATAATGTATATTTAGGTGTTATAATGTTTACAGGGGAAAATCCAAAACAATATTTTGCACGGAAAGTTACTTAGAAACTGCTGCGTAAGCATTTTTTTTTTTTAAATACTTCATATTTTTGTTTTTTCACTTAATGTCTCAACCTGATCTTTTCAAATATTACATATACTTTGACACGCTAAAAGAGAGTGTGCTATAAGGCTGAGGATATAGCTCAGCAATTCCTAGCAAGTTTGAGGCACTGGGTTTAAGCTCAGCAGCACCAAAAACAGAAACAGGAAAGTGCAACATATACTGCTATACTGTCGCTACTTAACAGTTAGGGCTTTCAAGCATAGTTACTTCCTGACAGCAAGCACATTTTCTACTCATCCAGATAATTCTTCATGTAATTCATGCAGATGTTAAAATAAATGGATCAAAGCGTACCTGAAAATCATGAATGATGTGGTGAACTGCTTCAGAATCCAACAGATTAACCTGTTCAAATTTTGGTCTTGCTCTTCTAAAACCACAGCCAACAGCATGCCAGTTATTCTGCTGAAATTCTTTGTAAACGGCTCTGCCAAGAAGCCCAGTGGCACCCGTAACCAGAACTCGCCTAGTGGGGATGTTTACTTCCTCCTAAAAAGTGGAGGGGGAAAAAACAACAGATTATGGGCATGAAAGTAATTCTCTCAAAGACATGAGTCACCATTATGGTTCACTAAGAAACACCTCAAATTGAAGTAGTTTCTTTTCTTTTCCTTTTTTTTTCAGGCACTGGGGATTGAGCCCAGAAGCTCACCCATGCAAGACAAGCACTCTTCCACTTGAGCTATGCCCTCATCAGCCCTCTTGCTTTGGCTTGAGAGAGGGTCTTACTACCTTTGCCCTGGCTGTCCTTCAACTGGAGCTCTTCCTGCATCTGCTTCCCAAGCAGCTGGGATTACAAACATGTACCATCACACCTGTCTCAAGGCAGTGTTTTGTTTTTAGTTAGAATATATTCGTTGTATAGGGGGAATGCAGAGTAACAATTCCAAACAGACTTACACTGTACACTGATTACACCATCCCTATCATATCTCCCCCTCGAATCCCTCCTCGCCCCACTTAAATTGCAGGAGGTTTCTTTGTCCTATTTCATGTATCAAGTCCATCAACCATATTCCCTCACCTTAATCTCCTTCCTTCACTCTCCCATCCCAAAAGTATCCACACACACTGTACCTATTTTACAGTCCTATCTTTCATTATTAATATTTAAATCAATGTTCAAAAGGCTTTCTCAATGTATCCCCTTTGTGAGTATATTTCACTTTGGTCTGTTCAACCCTGTTACCTCCCACCCTCCATTTTTCAACAGTCAAAATAGTTTTCTGATGCATGTCACATCAATAAAGTCAATTCTATTCTAAAGTTATAAAAAAGATTAATCAAACTGTATCAACAACTATATCACTTAAGAAAACTTTAATCTCAAAAAAAAGAACATAATACCACAAATAATTACGCAGATTTAGGTATCATGTTAGTGATGGAAGGTATTTTTTTTATGACTGATGATTTGCAACTGCATAATAAAGTATTAAGCTTTTTTGATTTTATGATCTGATAACTATTTGGGTTTTATCTCCCAGTAAGTTTATATAAGTTAACATTTCTAATCTTCAGGGGTTTTGTAAGATCTTGCTATATATCCAAGGCTGGTCTCAACTTTGAGATCCTCCTGCCTCTGCCTCCTGCATGATAGGATGATAGGCACCATGCCAAGTCCAATTAATTTTTAATCCCAAACTTTCTTTCACATACTGATGAGTCTGAGTATTAGGCAAAATTTAAATTGATGCATGTTGCTATAGTGAAAAATTCTTTGAACACAGAAATTGAAAAGAACCACTACTCAAGAAACAGTATTTTAGAGCTGGCCGAGTGGCTCAAGTGGCAGAATGGCTGCATGACAAGCAAGAGGTCCCGAGTTCAATCTTGGATACACAGAATGTTCAACAGTAACATTCTATATATCCAAAGCGCCCTTTCAAAATTTTCCTCTTCCCAGATGAGTAACACTGTTTCCTCCCAGAACCTTGAATAAAAACAACTTGCATTATTATTTTTTTTTCAAACAGTTTTAAACCTTAACTTACAAAGGATTAGGATCAAAAGACACTATGGGCTACATCGTAAGTGAAACCTGATCTCAAAGCAATAAAAAGAGGTTTTATTAAATCTTATCAACTTGAAGTCTTTATTTCTCCTAATTCTGTGCTATCAAAAAAAGTTATATGCACAATAACTGAAGCTCTTACTTCAGTTAAATTATTTAACAAGCATATGCTCCTGCACACCTTTTTTTTCAGGGTATCAAAAATCAGGTACTTCTATCACATGAAATGTAAGGGCTAACAGGGAAAAATAATATAAAGGTAAACTCTTAAAGATTATTTTTGCATAATTCAACCAGTTTCAAAACATTAAAAAAAGTGAAGAAGTTTCATCCAGGCTCTCTGTTGCAACATTTGGCTCTAAGCCAGTTGATGTATAAAAACAAGGACTTCAGCCAGAAAAGTATTTTCTTTGAATTTTGGCAAGAAAACAGCTCTACAAAGACTCAACTGTAATGAGAGAAAAAACATGCCAAGTCTAGTCGGGACAAATTAAGGAAACAATTTTCACAGGATAAATACTATAAAAAACAAAACATGATTTGGTTTCTCACTTGTTACTTCACTCCAGGGAAGTAAACAAACAAGAAGCAGAGTTTAGATCAGTGATGATCACAATCACCTGGAGAGGGATTCAGGCATGCAGATTCAGGACCTGCAGTCATCACTTAAAAATAGGACTGGGGTTACATGGGGAAAATACAACTTTACATCCTTATACTTTGGGGTAATGAGTAAGGTCCCTAGAAGAAAATGTGCAACAGAGTACTAGTTACCAGTGGTCAGATGCCAAAACTCAAGAATTTTTTGTTAGGAGAGTAGCGATCTGAAATGCAAGCATTTACTGAAAAGGAACTTATAGTACACAACCTCATACCTGAAAACTAGCTAGTGTTACAGAATTGTGTAATTTCCAAAGTGAGGATCCTGTAGAGCAGATTGTTAAAGGTTTGTCCACAATAAAAAAGGAAAACCTGGGTCCAGAACTTGAGTCTTAACTGTTTCTATTCTCAAAACAAATACACAGAATTTTGTCTCAATTCTCTGAACTTACATTTGATTTCATGACTGTAAAGTTTTATCTGCTGTCACAAACTGAGGCACTGAGAATTTATTACACTTACATTGACCTTACTCGTTTGGACAAGATAACTAAAGCTCTTCCACCTTTTAAGTCTACAATTCTAATGCTTTTCATATGATCCTCACCACAAAGGGTTTCAGTAGGGTAAAAAAGAGTTTTATTTACTTTTCCCCTTCTCACACAGTTCTCTTCTTCTACCTGTATATGAGCAAAACTGATTTTTTTTCTCCTTTGGATGGCCAAATTTATTGATGGTTTGCACATCAATAATGTATATTGATGTATATGCATCATTTTAAAATTAAAAGATGCCATACAAATATCTCTTTTATCTTTGAGTTTCTATAAACTGAACTTTGCCTGAAGCTTTACTTTTTGCAGCACTGGGGCTTGAACTCAGGGCCTCCAGCTTGCTAGGCAGGTGCTCTTACCACTTGAACCACTCTACCAGTCCTTTTTTTGTGTTGGGTTCTTTCAAAATAGGCACTCAAAAACTATTTGCCCAGGGCTGGTTTGGAAGGAGATCTTCCTGATGTCTGCCTCTGAGTAGCTAGGATTACAGGTATGAGCCACTGGAGCCTAGCTTGCCTGAAGCTTTTAAAAGCAGTTTTTGTTTTTGTTGTTAGCAAAAGAAACATCCTTCTAAATATTACTTTGAACTCTCACTCCATGAATTACTTTACTTCCTTCAAAACAGAGGAATATCCAACACTTCAAGGAATTCAGAAGGAAAAATTAAAAAGCTGGTTCACACAAACAATAGGGTTAAAAATTTTTGTCTACCTAAGCAGTGTATTTTCTCAATTTTTATTATACTGGTAAAGATGAACAAACACTACTTAAGTTACTCTAATCATATCTGCCTCTTATTGTATAAACTCTTAGGTACATGGAATTCAACCTAGGACATATTTATGGACATGAAAAAATATTTGGGGGGATTGGGGTTTGAACATAGGGCTTTGCACTTGCAAAGCAGGTAATCTACCACTGGACCCACACTTCCAGTCGGTTCTGTTCTGGTTATTTTGGAGATGTGGTCTCATGAACTATTTGGGCTAGCCTCAAACCATGATCCTCCCAATCTCAGCTTCCCAAGTAGCTAGCTAGGATTACAGACATGAGCCACTGGTGCCTGGCTAAAGATTAAAAAAACAAAAGTTGATGGGCTTCAGACCCAGCTCAGGATAAATATAATACCTTACACTTTAGTGAACTTTTAAATTCTACTGTCACCCACCCTAAGTGCACTCAACAGACAGTGTTGCCAACATGAACCTAACCTGTCCGGGATGGTTCTCTAACATTATTAAGACATGAACTCCCACGATGGTGGAATAAGTTTTAGTTCTACAGGTATTGAGAGAGCAACAAGTATGTGCCAAGTTCCTAGCTGTGCCATTTTCATGTTTTTACTGGACTCCCACTGTGGGCATATGTTAACCTTTATACACACAATGCATACACATACAATTGGTAACATACACTGAGAAGTTAGGTGAGCACAGGAACAGACAACATAAAAGCTTAAAGAGCCAGTGTGTCCTAACTTTACCAAGTCCCCGAACGTGATTTGAAAAACACTAAACACTTCACGTTTGGGAAATGTAAAAATTCTGCACTGTGGGACGCTGTGTCTCACGCCTGTAATCCTAGCTACTCAGGAGACAGAGATCAGGAGGATCGAAGTTCAAATCCAGTCCGGGAAATAGTTCTCAAGACCCTATCTCCGGAAAAAAACCCATCACAAAAAAGGGCTGGAGTTGTGGCTCAGGCTGTAGACGGCCTGCTTTGCAAGTGCGAAGCCCTGAGTTCAAAACAGCATCTGCAGTAACAGCCACTTGCTGTTTTCTTTACGTCCTTCTCAGGGACCCAGGAATGTTCGGGGGCGAGACAGCGGCAGGAGAGGGGATCTCAAGCATGGCTTTCCCACCGACAGTGCTCCATCGTGCAAAGCGTGGTGGGCCAAAGCCCCAGGCGGTCAAACAGCCCTGGACTCGGATACCTGTTCCAACAGCTGACCCTCTGTGCCTCAGTTCACTCATTTGTGAAATGGAGCCACGACATGTCGCAGTCACCAAGATTCTGCAAAGCGAGTACCATGACTGAGAGTTCAGCAAGTTATTTCCGACATCAAGCAATAGGAACAAAAGGTGACGAAGCTGCAGAACCCAAACAAGCCCACTCCCCCCATGCCCCGCCCGGCGAGCCGAGTGAACAAACCGCGGCGCCACCCGGGTCCCGCGGCCGACTGGGCGGGACGCGCCCAGGACACCTCGAGCCCCTCGGACTGACTCCCTTACCTCCACCAGCTGGCAGTTCCCGGGAACAAACTGAATGGAGAGTTCTTTCTCCCGCCCCACCATGCCAGCCGTCTTCTAGCCGCAGGTGCTGCGGCCGCCACCACCTCCAGCCCAAAACAGCCGCGAGTCTCAGCCTCGGCCCGCCTCTCCTAGGCCCAGGCCGACCTCCGCCCGCCGCTTCCGGCTTCCGCCGACCAACCGCGCCTGCTGATTGGCTACGCTCTGCCACGCCTTAGAAAGGGGGCGGGCTTGCGCGGGACGCTTCCAGCCCACGCGCCGCTTTTTAAAGAGACACTCAAAACAAGGGGGCCTGACTGCAAACAATGAATTCCAGTTTTGTTTAGGAAGTTTCTTTAGGGTGTGGTTTTTTCCTACGTCTTTTTTGCTTTTTGTTTTTCTTTACTGAAGAAGATCGGATTGACTCGCCTAGAGTTCTAGCTTTGCATAATACGCAGTGCCTAAGAATGAGCTGATCGTGTAACATATAAAGTAGAATAAACTATCTTTAAAGTTAAGGGAGGCGGGGGAGGGGCAAACTTACTAGATACACCTCTAGATGGCTTCTGAAAGGTCTAGAAAAAGGCACGGAATAAAAATAAGTGTTGGCACCTGAGTCAGCAACACCTCAGGAATCCATTTGTTTTTCTGGAATGGTTTTTAAAAAATGAGAAAATTTCAAAAATGCAAAACTTTTTAGCTAACTAAAAATAAAAAGATGTGGAAGATGTTTAGGAATCTCAAAAACTCTCGGTTCTTAGATTTTATCCATAACTACAGAGTGAAAAACTGTGATAGTAAGGCCCAAGACTTGATTTAGTGGATTTAACAGGAGTCAAGACTCCAGAGAAACAACTGAGGCTTTTGGGCTCCCAGAAGGGAGATGGGGAAAGAAAGTACCAGGTGGCTCAAGTCTGTAATCCTAAACTACTCAGGAGGCAGGCTCAGTAGGATTGCCAGCCAGGGCAAATAGTTCACAAGACCTTATCTTGAAAGGGCTGGTGGAGTGGCTCAAGGTGTAGGCCCTGAGTTCAAGCCCCAATACTGCCCTCCCCCCACCCCACCCCAAAAAAAGTAATGTAGTGAGTGGGGGTGAATTTGATCAAAGCGAATTGTATGCGTGTTGTAAATATTGCAATTAAACCTATTTGTACTATTAATTTATGCAAATAAAAGTTAAATTAAAAAGGAAAACTAAAGATGGAACCAAAAAAGACCCACTTGCAGGGCTTTTAAAAGCAAATCAGAAAACCTCTAAATTGTTGATTTCTGTTTCTCTAGCTAGAGAGCTAGCACCTAACTGAATTCCCTACTGGTTCAAAACTTTAGAAAGTCCTTTGTCAGCCATGCCTGAGAAATGTATTCGTAAAAAAGCCAGGGAAGATTCGCCCACTTTTTACCCAACAGTTTGTCCTGGTTCATACATCCAGCAGAGACTGAAAACATGCCCCCAAGCAATTATTTTCATAATATTTTGGTTAATTTTTAGAGCTAAAGACAGCCTTTTAAAAACTTGTTTTTCAAAAGCTTTATCAGAAAAAAACAAAACAAAAAAACCCAAATTTTTTTTCTAGCTGGGCACTGGTCGTTAATGCCTGTAATCCCAATTATTCAGGAGGCAGAGATAAGGAGGATTAGTGTTCAAGTTTGAGAGACCTTTATCTCAGAACACCCTTCACAAAAAAAGGGTTAATGTAGTGACTCAATGGTGAGTTCAAGCCCCAGTACAGCAAAACAAAAAAAAAAAGTTTTTTCTACATCATTGACTTTTTTTTTTCTACTTCATGACTTTCCTTGCTCCTTAGTCCTTAAAGAACCTATCTCCTTATTCATGTAAACATAAAAGTTTCTTTAAAACAGTGACTAATGGGAGCTTGAGGATGCACGCTTTGCATTTAAAAAAACCATAAAAACAAGTCAGGCTTTTTCTGCTCCTAAATTGTGAGGACTGTCCCAAAGGTTAGCAAGCATAATGCCTGGGCAACAAAGAAAAGATAGAGAGCCAGGCACAGTGTACATCTCAGTAGTCCCAGCACTGGGGAAGTTGAGGCAGGAGGGATACATAGGGGAGACCCGTCTCAAAAGAAACTAACCAAAAGGAAAAGTCAGGCTGCAGAGAACAGATTCAAGATCCTCTTCACCCTCTAGCCTTAAAACGGGAGGATTCTGTTGTAAATTTCTAGTTGGAATGTGTGATGTAATCTAATCTTCCTGGAGGAAGTAAAAATTACATTCAACAGTTACAGTCAAGGACTGCAATTAGCATTTTGATTCTATAAGTGAGGAACAAAAAGTTTACTTGCCTACATTTAAGTATCTGGCTTGATATTTGCTGGGTAAAAGTTGAAAGCAGTTCTCCGGGCATTGCTTAGGTATAACTTTTAATCATTTTCTTTAGTGAGGGTCGGATCTAACATGTATGCAATGACATTCCTTTACAGGCAACATCCAACCTCTCCCATGGTGGACAAGTTTAATGTGTGCAGCCTGGACCGAAAAGTTACATTAGCAGATTCAAGTCACAAAGACAAAAGCCAGAGCACACAACTATGCATAAAATCCTTATTTAAACAGAAACTTCACCTGTATTATTCCATTGAATCTGGTAAATGAAACTACCCTGTTTTGCATTTTATTTTTGTCAATTAATTAGACTTCACCTGGTTTTGAGGGTCAGTAACTGACATCAGTTTATTATTGTGTCCCAAGGTTGTGTCTGAAATGAACAATGAGGGTTTCTATTTTCTTCTCACACCCACACTGCTCCTACCAGGCGCTCTGGAATGCTTTTAAAGCACCACTTACTCCAGAATGTCTCTTGAATTGCTAGCGCTTACCTGTTCCATGTCCTCCGGCATTTCAGGCATGATTCCACAAAAATTTCAGGAGCAGAGGATCGGAGGGATGGATCTCAGCGTCTGCCTCCTCTGGCTGGGTCTTTGTCTGCTCTGCCTGCAGAGAGCACAGGCAGCCAAAACGTGAGCACTGGCTTCACTTGACCTTTAAAATTAGCATTTGACTCCAATCCCGGAATCTCGTGCAGTTTTCCACAGTGCAGTAAGCTGGCAGCTGATTCCCCATGCTAGTTACGAAAATACCCAATGAGAAGTTTCATGTTTAATGCCAGCCAAGCAATGATCCATTACCAAAACCATATGGCAGAACTATTAAAACAAAAACAAAACGACAAAAACCCCTACAATTTCCTTTCAGTACTTGTTGAAATTTTCTCCTGCAGAAGGAAAGCCTGAGCCAACAGTTGGAAAGCATACAGTCCGTGCAATTGCTTCCTGTTCTGTAATATTTAATTCAATCACACCTTATTGTAAAATATGTTTAATAAAATTGGTGCATTTCTTCTCAGTGCTTTATAATTAACCATTTCAAAGGTTCAAAGGACAATGAAAAGCACTGGTGGGGCTGGGCACCAGTAATCCTAGAGACTCAGGAGGCAGAGATCAGGAGGATTATCTTTGGAAGCCAGCCCCAACAAATAGCTCTGGAGACCCTATCTCGAAAAAAACCGTCACAAAAAAAAAAAAAAAACAGCTGGTGTAGTGGCTCAAGGTATAGGTCCTGAGTTCAAACCCCAGTACAAAAAAAAAAAAGAAGAAGAAAAAGGAAAGTACTGGTGATAACAGTACACATAGGTTAAAATGCACTGTCATTTCCGTTAACACTGTTCTGTTCCCTGTTTGAGTAAATGGTGGGTGGATGTAAGGCAGGCTAGAATTAGGGAAAGTTTGGGACTAAGATCCATCGCTGACATGCCTTCAGAGCCCCATTGTAATTGCAGTAAGTTAGAAAGCATGAGAACTTCTTCCCTCATGGGTGGGGAACCTGAGAATTAACATAGGTGTATACCAGAGTCTGCCCAGCTACTTCCCCTGCCTCAAAGGTCAATGGAACCAGGTAATGGCACGCCTTCACCTGGATTAGGAACCACTCATTGATTATTGGACAGAAAACACTTCCTATAGCTTGTCATAGGTTTTTGGTTTGTGTTACTGGGGCTTGAACTCAGGGCCTACAAGTGGAGCCACTCCACCAGTCCTTTGCTGGTTGAGATAAGGTTAGCTATACAGGGAGTTGACTTGCATTGATTTCTTGTGCGTGGGTGTTACCTTCTAGGATAATTCTTTTTGATCTAACCTTTTCTCTAGTTCCTGGTCCCCTTCACCTATTGGCCTCAGTTGCTTTTAAGGTATCTGCTTTAGTTTCTCTGCGTTAAGGGCAACAAATGCTAGCTAATTTTTAGGTGTCTTACCTATCCTCACCCCTCCCTTGTGTGCTAAAGCTTTTATCATGTACTCAAAGTCCAATCCCCTTGTTGTGTTTGCCCTTGATCTAATGTCCACATATGAGGGAGAACATATGATTTTTGGTCTTTTGGGCCAGGCTAACCTCGCTCAGAATGATGTTCTCCAATTCCATCCATTTACGAGCGAATGATAACATTTCATTCTTCTTCATGGCTGCATAAAATTCCATTGTGTATAGATACCACATTTTCTTAATCCATTCGTCAGTGGTGGGGCATCTTGGCTGTTTCCATAACTTGGCTATTGTGAATAGTGCTGCAATAAACATGGGTGTGTAGGTGCCTCTGGAGTAACCTGTGTCACAGTCTTTTGGGTATATCCCCAAGAGTGGTATTGCTGGATCAAATGGTAGATCAATGTTTAGCTTTTTAAGTAGCCTCCAAATTTTTTTCCAGAGTGGTTGTACTAGTTTACATTCCCACCAACAGTGTAAGAGGGTTCCTTTTTCCCCCGCATCCTCGCCAACACCTGTTGGTGGTGGTATTGCTAATGATGGCTATTCTAACAGGGGTGAAGTAGAATCTTAGTGTGCTTTTAATTTGCATTTCCTTTATTGCTAGAGATGGTGAGCATTTTTTCATGTGTATTTTGGCCATTTGAATTTCTTCTTTTGAGAAAGTTTTGTTTAGTTCACTGTCCATTTCTTTAAGATTTTCAAATTTATTTGAATATAGGTTCTCGAAGTAGTCTCTGATGATTTTCTGGACTTCCATGGTGTTTGTTGTTAACTACCCTTTTGCATTTATGATTCTACAAATTTGGGTTTTTTTCTCTCCTCATTTTAATCAGGTTTGCCAGGGGTCTATCGATCTTGTTTATTTTTTCAAAGAACCAACTTTT